TGACCGCGTGGTCACCCTGCGGCTGCCTGGTGAGGACCTAGAAGCCCTGTACCCAACACACCACAGGCCTTGGTTCCTCTGCCAGGAGCAGTGCTGCCTGATTCTACATTCTGCACTGGGACAGCCTGGCTTGGCACCCCCAGCCTAGCTCAGCCTTCTGTGGGGAGGAGGGTGGGAAGTGTGAATGACGATGATGTCAGCTGGGCAGGGATGGAGCCCCTGCAGCGGGACCACTTGGGTAGCTCATCCCCTTCCTTCCCTTTCCCTTAGGCCTGGAGAGTGTGGACCACTACCCTATTCTGGTGGCAGTGACAGGCATCCTGGTACGACTCCTGGTGCACGGCCCAGCCTCAGGGTGAGTGTTAGGGGCTGGGGTCCCCTGTGGGTGCTGGGCTTGTCTGATGGGGAGGGGGCTGGGCAGGGCCTTCCAAAGCTCATCTCTCACATGGACTTCAGCGTCAGGTCTGGAGCTGGAAGGAAGGTAGTGAGGTATGAACTGAGTAGGTGGCGGCAGCAGCAGCAGCAGCAGCCTAAAGTAGGAGAATCCAGGAGCTCCACAGAGCAGGGTGCCCTGGCCCATGGGCAGAGCCGCTGGCTGTGGCTGTGCCTCAGGCAGGGGCAGGGGAACTAAGACTGTGCTAAGGGCGGGGTGCCATCCTGTGATATCCAGGGACACACTGCTGGGGTTAAGAGCTGAGCACACATACTGCCATCTGTGTCTGTGAAGGCTCCGACGACGAGCATGTACTACCTTTATTAAGAAATTCCATGATAGCTGGATCCAGGACACTTGTGGGCCCCCCAGCTCAGCCCTCACTCAGGAGGGGTTCCCAGTCCCCGCTTCCCTGCCTCCCTGCCGTGGGAGTGGTGAGATGCATATGAAGCCAGGGCACTGCTTCAGCCATTAGGCTGATACCAGTGCCAGCCCTTAAGAGGATTCTGCCCTTGGGAGACAGCAAGTTCTGGCTCAGCCCTCCCATCTTAGCCATGCTCAGCAGGCTTTTTACTGCTGAAAAGCTGGGGGAACAGGTCATTGGTGCCCCTTACCATTGTCTTGTGAGCCCATGGGAGAGGCTCTGCCCTCAGAGTGCCAGTGATGCCCCTGGAGGTCTCTTGAGGAGCCTTGCCTGCTGGCCTTCTCACCAGACTGCATGGACTCGTGAAGCTTCAAGTAGCTTGAATGTTGGTGCGTGGGGAGTCACATTTCACCAGAGGGAGGGCTTGTAATTCCTCTTTCCACCCTCGGGGTGGGGACTCAGTCTTCCTTTGAAGTCTTCCTCCTTTTCCCCTGTGGGCCACTCCTGTCCCCTTGGGAAGCAGAAGGTGGTTATGCTTCAATTCTTCACCACGACTCTCCTTGATGGCTGCCTTAGCCCCTGCGGGTGAACCTGGGGCTCTAATGCAAGGGCTCTTCCAGATGGCCCTCGGTTCCAATCCTCATGTGGGCACAGGTAGGCCCTGCTAGGTCCTGGGATGTTTTGGTCCTGTGTTGCTGGGGAGAAGCAGGAGAGAGTTGGGGACTTCAGCCCCTCTACCAGTGAGTGGTGTTGCTGTGGTTTATGTCGAGGCCCACACAGGAGGCTGGAGGACCAAGCCCAGTGCTTCCCACCAGCATCTGGCACTTCTCTGGGCAGCAGCGGGGAGCAGGGCAAGCAGTGGGCAGGCAGTGGCCTTGGTGGGGCCCCTGGGCAGCCTAGGTCATCACCAGACCCTCAGAGCCTGTGGAGCTAGTGGACTCAGAGCCAGCCTTGAGCCGCAGGCCCAAGGGATTGTGGAGATCAAAGTCTTCAGCTACCGCTAGCTGCACACGACCATTGAGGCTTCTCCTGCCAGGTTCCAGAAAGACCACGTGCTTGTGGACACTGGCCTTGCGTCTCGGTGCGTCGGGCGGCGTGGTGCTGAGCACTGAGGACTGTGCGCTCAGCTCCTGGAGTGGGCTGGGTGTTCGGGGCCAGCGGCGGCAGCGGCAGGTGTGATGGTAGCAGCTGCGGCAGCCGGGGCAGGGTGGCGTGAACAGGTAGAGCAGCACGAGCACCAGGCCCACGGCGCAGCCCAGCAGCGTGGTGAAGCCCGTGTTGAAAGTGTCAGGCTCAGGGTGTGGAAAGTGCACACTTACGTTGTACTCGTGTGTCTGGTTGTGATGCAGGTGGGGTCCAGTAGCCAGGCACACAAAGACACCCTCGTGCCATGGCTGCACGTTGCTGATGGCCAGGCTGCCATCAGCCCGCACTGCGATGCTGCCGTTGCGAGACCCTGGTGCCACAAGCAGCTCATGCTGCGGCGAGACCCAGGCATAGTGCACGGCTGGGGCGCTGGTGTTGCAGTGTAGCCTCAGGGACTGCCCCACCTGCACATGCAGCTGTTCTTCAGGCTGCTCTAGGCCCCGAGCCAGGGCAGCTGAGCAGTTCTCAAAGACACGGCTGTGCTCAAAGAAGCGCACGCGGGAGGTGGGTACCTTGAAGGCCAGGCATGTGTACTCGCCCGCGAAGTCGCTCACAGCGCTGAGCCCCCGCTGGTGCCAGCGTTGCAGCAGATGGTAGAGACGGCAGTCACAGGGTAATGGGTTGTTGTGCAAGTAAAGGCCGTTCTTGAGAAAGGCTGGCAGTGAAGCCAGGTCAGGTACAGGGATGCGTCCTAGGTGGTTGGAGGAGAGATCCAGAGTACGTAGGTGGGTCGTGCCCAGGCCGTGCAGGTGATTGAAAGAGAAGGACGCAAGTTCATTGCAGCCCAGGTAGAGACGACTGAGCGCGCCCAGGCCGTGGAAGGCCTGCTCGTCTAAGTGTGCCAGGCGGTTATTGAACAGAAGCAGCATCTTGAGCTCCCCCAGGCCGTCGAGGTCGTGGCGGCCCAGGGCCCGCAGGGCGTTAGATGATAAATCGAGCAGCCGCAGGCCGCTGGCATTGGTGAAAACTCCCGGACCTAGCGTATCCAGCTCGTTGTGATTTAAACGCAGGGCGCGGAGCCGGGAGAGGGGCGCCAACCAGCCGGGGCGCAGGCGCTGCAGCGCATTGTGGCTCAGGTCGAGGTCTGCAGCTGCAGCTGGTAACGCGCCCGGCACATCCTGCAGCCCCAGGCCGGCGCAGCTCAGGAGGTCGGCAGCGCAGACACATTTGTAGGGACAGTTATGAGGCGCACGGGACAGGAAGCCCTCGGAGTCCAGGGTGCTCATTAATCCGACACGCAGCATGCACAGCAGTGTGCCCTGCAGCACCAGCCGGGCCATGGCGGCGGCTGCCAGGGGTGGGACAGGGCAGCTTGGTGCGGGGCGCAGCTCCGAGACTCACCCACTTCACATCCGGCTAGAAGTGCGGGGCGCTAAATGGCCAGTGGCCAGCGAGACAGTATGCGGGCTCCGTCCCGCAAGGCCGACCGCTCCAGCTGCCCGGCTCCAGATTTTGGGTTGAGTTGGGGCCACGCTCTGCTCAGCACTCCCTTCTCAGGCTTCCCCAGCTCTCTCCTGAGTGCCTTTCTGAGCACTCAGCTTCTAAATACTCTCCGGGAGGCGATTTCTCGGGGGCGGGGCCTCAGGCTCCCATTGGCTCCCATTGGAGGGGCGGGGTAGCCGCGTCCCCCGGCGTTCATAGGCCCCCGCGTGGCCGCCAGAGGGTGAGCGAGTTGGGCCACAATACCCTAGCCTGAGCTTGGCTGGCGGCTTTCCAGAGGGCCCGTCTCCCGGAACCCTGGGAAGCATGCCTTTAAGCTTCTTGTGTTGTGTTTCCTTTTAAGGGTTAACGTTTATGAGGGGGCAGGTGTTTTCTTTGAAGGGTTAACGTATATGATTGGGCAGCTGTTTCCTTTTAAGGGTTAACGTAAATGAAGGGGCAGGTGGACTTCCATTATCTTCTGGTGGTGCTCCCTTAAACTGGTACCCGACAATGTGGGTCCTTACTGGGATCTAGGACTTTACTGGGAGGACTGGAGAGAAGCAGGGAGACTGGGTGGAATGAACCAGGCAATAATGCAAATAGGCTGGACTTTCCACCCCCACCCCTCCGAACAGATACTGATTTCAGACAGGCCCAGCTTCTGACTACCCTTGTACCCTCTCCCACCTAGGACAGAGAGAGCCACATCAGTGCTCCTGGCTGATCCCTGCTTCCAGCTCCGCTCCATATGCTATCTCTTGGGGCAGCCAGAGCCCCCTACCCCTGGCACTGCCCTGCCTGCCCCTGACCAGAAGCGCTTCTCCCTGCAGAGCTGTGAGTAGGCTGGGGGTGGGTCAGGGAAGAGAGGGATTTGGGGCTGGGCCAGGTTAGTAGTCTTAAGAGGAGCAAATTCCCAGGCAGTGAGTACTCAAGAGGCACTGGGTTCTAGGGCCACATTTGGCCTGACACCTCCTACCACCCGCCAGACACAGATTACATCAGTGTTGAGGAACTGGCCCAGGTGGAACAGATGTTGGCACACCTGACCTCTGCATCTGCCCAGGCAGCAGCTGCCTCCCTGGTGAGTGGGGCCACAGCATACGGGTCCACACAACCCCAGTACACGTCACCACAGCTGTGTGCGTAGTGTACACCCAACTTGTCTGGGCACCCGACCCCAGCCCACCCTGCCCTCTGCTCCCTGCAGCCCACCAGTGAGGAAGACCTCTGCCCCATCTGCTATGCTCACCCCATTTCTGCTGTGTTCCAGCCCTGTGGCCACAAGTCCTGCAAGTAAGTGGGCTGCACGGGCACAAGGGGCTGGGTGGGGAACAGCAGGGATACACAGGCCATCTTTATGCCCTCCCCTGTTGTAGAGCCTGCATCAACCAGCACCTGATGAACAACAAGGATTGCTTCTTCTGCAAAGCCACCATCATGTCTGTAGAGGACTGGGACAAGGCAGCCAGTGCAAGTGCCACTTCCTCGGCTGCCTAGGCCTACCTGGCCCACACAGCAGGAACCTCTACCCTTAAACTCAAACCCAGGCTGGGCCCTATTTATGAGCCCCTTGCCCTGTCCCCCACGACCCCCACCATGCCCTATTTGTGCCTGAGCTTGACTTTCAGTCAGGGCCACAGTGAGCATTAAATTATTATTCCATACAGTCCTGGCCCAGCCCATCTTGAGGGAGTGGGCTTTGTGGGGTATGCCCAGCAAGGATCTTGCCAGATTATGTCCACAGGAGAAGGCGGGTGTCCGATGGCTTCAACCTTGTCCAATCCTCCCCAGTCAGATGGCAATGAGTCCAGGGCCTCCTGATGTGTCGAGCCAGTGATCCCCTTGCCAGTGGGGAAATGGGGGCTCAGCCAGCCCCACAGCATCCTCACATGATGATGCGGGGCTCCGGCACCGACTCACCAATAGACTTGTGGGGCAGCACACTGGCCCCGTTGAGGTAGAGCTCGTCGTTAACTATGACGTCCTCACCCAGCACTGTCACGTTCTCCATGCGCACCTTGGGGGGAGGGGCAGGCCTGTCAGCGAGGCAGAGGCATTCCCCCACCCTCCCCATCTGGCCCAGCCCGGAGGCTTACCCACTGGCCCACGCGGCAGCGCCAGCCTACAATGCAGGACTCAAGCCAGGAGTGGGAGCGAATGTGGGCATCTCGCAGCACCGTGCACCGCCGAATGCACACACCATCCTCCACCACCACACCAGGACCCAGACTCACATTAGGGCCAATGCTGCAGTTCTCGCCAATACGGGCACTTGGGTCCTGAGGACAGCGGGGAAAACACAAGTGGGCCATCTGTCCCCCAAGGTTGAGGGGGTTGACAATGCTCTGGGCAAGGGCCTCACCACCAGCACGTTGCCCACAATGCCGGGGCCTGAGCACAGTTGCTCAGGCTGCTTCTGTCGCAGCGACTGCAGGAAGAGGCACATGCCGGTGAGGAAATCCTTGGGCTGCCCAATGTCCATCCAGAAGCCTGTAGGGAGAGAATGCATCAGGGGGCTCAGCCCAGCCACAGACCACCCCCACCCTGTGGCCTCCCTGCCTCACCCTGCAACTCCATGGCATAGAGCTGCCCCTCCTTGGCCATGACAGGGAAGATCTCCTTCTCAATGGATGTGGGCTGCAGCTGTGGGAGTGGGCAGCTCATGAGCAGGGTCATGGCAGTGGTGGCCTGCCCTACCCCAGCCCACCCAGCAGCTGGCTTCTACACACCTGGATGCGCCGTAGCACTGGAGGGCTCAGGATGTACATGCCTGCGTTGATCTTGTTGGAAACAAACACCTGCGGCTTCTCCACGAACCGGTGAATGCGGCCTGTGTCCGCCTCACACACTACCACGCCATACTTAGAGGGTTCCTCCACTTTGGTCACCTGAGTGCAGGGGGACTTCAGGCCTAGTCCAGGGCTCCTGAGCCTTGATATACATGCTGTCCTAAATTTCAGGGGCTTTGCCGAAAATGCTTAAAGGCACAAACTGCACAGCTCTGCAACCGCAACACCAAGGGGCAGTTCAAGGCTGGAGGATGGGAGAGGCTAGGGAGGCTGCGCATGGGGACAGGTACATTAGAGCAGAAAGACGGGCTCTCTTACCAGAATTGAGCCCTCCTGGCCATGGTGCCGGTGGAACTGCACCATGGCTTGAAAGGGGAAATCGCAGATCACGTCACTGTTGAGGACGAAAAAAGGGTCTGCAGTCTCAGAGAGGAAGTCACGGGCCAGTGCCAGGGGCCCAGCTGGGGGAGAGGAACAGGTCACCATCATTTTGGGGGTCTGAGCCCCTGGATCCAGGCTCAGCAGTCCCCATCCAGGCTGAGTCTTGCTCCTTCCCTGGCCCTAAACCCTCCCCAAGGGACCTTCCTATCTCTACTGACCTGTTCCTAAAGGCTCCTCTTCATGGGACATAGAGATTCGGATTCCTAGCTGGAAGGAAGAAGCCCCCCGTCAGGTTCCTCTCACCACGGTGAAAAGTTGAGCGGGGACCAAGGGAAAGAGCGAGAAGTCCGTGCCTCACCCTTTGCTCCTGCGCCTTCATTTCCTTCTCCAGCACCTGAGACATATAGCTCACAGCCAGAATCACGTGGTCCACGCCGGCCTGTGGGCAACAGAACAGCGCCGGCCGCCAAGCGGATTCAGCCGAAGGCACAGGTGTCCCCGATCCCCAATCGCTGGCCGTCCCTCATCCTATCAGGTCCTACCAAGATCCCGGCCCCGGGCCTTACCGCGGCCAGCGCCTCCACTTGGTGCAGCAAGATAGGCTTATTGCAGAAGTCCACCAGCGGCTTCGGGATGCTTAGCGTCAGCGGCCGCAGGCGCGTCCCATAGCCACCCACCAAAATCAGTGCCTTCATTGCGCCTGCGGGCGGCCGGAGAGTGAGTCCCGGGCTCCGAGGTGTCCGCGGCCTGCCTGGCGGACCCCTGCCGCACACTCCCGCCGCTGTGCCCGGCCCCTCGCCCTTCACCCGCCAGACTGACCAACTCTGGCTCTGCCTTGTCCGCCCAGTCCGCGCTGACGCTAGGGCCGAGACCGCAGCAAACCTGGACACGACGCCGGACGGAGACCGACTGCCTCCCAACTCGGGCCGGCGGCCGGCGGGAAGTGACGTAAACTCGGGCGGCCCAATCAGCTACCGTATACGTGGCACACAGTCGGCGTCGAAGCGCCGAAACGCGACGCTCCGGCCGACGCAGCCAATGAGAACCGAGCGCGCCGGGCTACCATGGGGACCGGGACCCGGACCTGCGAGTCAGCTGGCCATTGGCGGATACGAAAGCGGAGCTGGCGCCAAGGGCGAGGCTTCTTTTGCGCTGCGCCCCAACCGCTTCCGGCCCCTCCCCGCCTCACCGGGCCGGCCGGGCCGGGGAGGGGCCGAGGATGCGGGCGGGCCGGACTATGCCAGTCTCCCGGAGGCCGAGGGGTTTCTCAAAGACACGGACACGCCTCGGTTTCTAGCGGCTTTATTTTGACATACACGACCTCAGACACAAGCGGGGCGGGCAGCGCTAGGTGTACAGAAAGGGGCAGGCTCAGCCCAATGCCGGAGCAGCCCCTCCCCTGCACGCAAGGTCCCGAGAAAACGCAACCGCGCCCAGACGCGACCGGAGCCACGTGTCATATCCGGGCGCAGGGCTCGGGCGGCGTGGACAGGCTTAGGCAGCTTCCAGGAAAGTGGAGTAGAGAGCGGTCCTCCAGGCGAGGCCTTGCAGTTCCCCGAGAAGCAAAGATACCAGGCCCTTCCCTTGGTTCTCCCCAAACTTTTCCCCATTAAAACATTTTTTAAATCGGCACGAACAAAACCAAATTGAACAGTTTTAAAAGTTCAAGCAATCTGCATCTAGGGGGGGGTGCACGTGGCGGTATGTTAGCAAGTGAGCAAAGGATACGAACTAGCCCAGGCCTTTGGCCCCTTAAGGAGAATCCCCACGCCCACTGTACAGGCCCGGATGTGAGGGAGGGGTGGCGTCCCGGGCAAGTTGCAAAACTGGTCCCCTTCCTCTTTAAGCACCGCCCATCCCACCCCGCTAGGGGGCTGGTGTCGACTTCGCCCAGGGAAGCACTATAGAGAGGGGTCGCTTGAACGCCCCAACCCGTGATCCCATCTTGCACTTTGGTCCCAAGTTGGGGCTGGGAAGGCAGGGCCTGGCAGGGACAGGGCTCTCTAGCATGGAACAGGGCGAAATGGTGGCAAAGAGCGTGTGCAGACACACATGCCCACCACCCACCAGAAAGCAGGGCTGTGTCTCCCAAGTGTTCAAAAGTACTGAAAACAAGGGACTCTGCCCTGGGGGAGAAGCAGCAAATCCCAGCCCTGCTCTTTTAGTGCCAGGCAAACACTGAATTTAAGTCGGTACAGCCTCTCTCGCGATGAAGAGCGGAATGGGGCAGCATCTCCCATAATATACAAACTCAGGAAGCACAGCACATCCCCAGGCTGGAGAGGCGCCATCAAGTGGGTCCCGAGTGGCCCCAGACCCTTTGCTTTAGCCTCTGCCTTACCAGGAAATGACTATCCACACTAATGAAGAGCTACTGCCCCCATGGATGAAGCCACAGAATAGTACAGAAGATGGTCATTACTGACCAGAAACAGGCAAGCTGCCCCTCCTAGCCCCAAGGAATGGGAACCTGCCCACCAATGGCACCAGGGTCAGAGGGCCGAGAGAGATGGGATCCCATCAAGGAGCCCATTTAAGATGTGTGGGGCTGCATCTCTAAGGACCAGGAAATTAGTCCATCAGTTACCAAGGCCTCTCAGAGACATAGGCTGGCAGGCTTACCATTAATGCCCCAATAGGGACATGCTAAAAGTGACAATGACAGTGGCCCTAGACTCAGAGGTGAGAGCACTAACCTCAGCAATGGCTAGGTGAGTGCAGTATCACCTGGCCACATGTGTTAGAGGTGGCAGGTCTCTGTGCCATTAAGGGCTGGCAGCAAAAGTTATGGGCAAGGAATGGGTCACCCCCTGGGCCTTCACTGTGCTACTGTCAGTGTTGAGTGTTGAGGGGGCCACACTCCAGGCTCACAGAGAGGGTGTTGGGCCAGCAGGGAAACACCTCCTCCAATTCATTTTGCTACCAGTTCTTTTAGAAAAGGTAGCACCTGCTGAGGAAGGGCACAGGGGCAAAAGCTCACCTCAGAAATGGTAAAGAGAATATTTTGCTGAGGGAAGCATGAAGAAAATCAATATTTACTGATGAACAAGGCTACACCCCAGGGGAAAGATCACAGGGGCTGGTAGATGGACAAATGGACAGACTGATGGACCCCAGTACTGATAAGACAAAACTCTCATTAGCAGAATCTGGGCACCTGCACCCAGCACCCAATGTCCCTATAAGCAAACAAGCTTAAAGTTCTCCCTCACAAGCCTGGAGCTCCTCACATGGGCTGCTGCCTTGAGCTTGGCCTGGGGAGAGGTGAGACCCTGAGCGGACCACAGCCTTTGAGCCCTGGAAGGAGCAGCCCATCCAAGGCAGCACAGCTGCCCAAGCTAGAGGAAGAGGACTCCTACCCACAGCACAAGGACTGCAAATACTAGCTGGGTCAGAGCCATCAGAGGCCCTGAGGCCTGCTGGAACACTGACTCTCCTCAGCAAACAGAGCAGGGCCCCCTCCAGTGGGGCAAGAGGGGATGGCCTCCTTAGGCAAGGGATCTTGGTGAGAAACGCTGGCTGGGCTGTGCAGGCAGGAGGAGGAGCAGGTTCAAGTGCCAAATAGTGCCTGGGGATCCCAGGGCCTGCCCTCTATCATTGCTGGCTTCAGCACAGCTTCATGAATCTAGCCTCATGCCAAGGTCAGAACCGAGAAGGGTCCAGCTGTGTGCAGTTGGCCCTGTGGTGCCCTGGGGACATCTGTTACAGACCTGGATGATACCCACAACACAAGCTACAAAGTCCCCCAAGAGATGGGCACCCAACCCTCTACTACTGGGAACAAGGGATGAGTGAGCATGGAGGGGCCCTGAGCCAACCCAGGGCTTCACCCCACAACTAGCAGGACCCTGCAGCCACAGACCCCAAAGACCTAGGCAAGAGAAACCAATGTCCAAGGGCAACCTGTCCCTGCTGCCAAGCCCACCAGGGGTATCTCTTCCTTCCTAAGTCAGCCTGGACACAGCAGTCAGAACCATAGAGCTAGGAAGCCTGGCTGAGAGGATGTGTTCTGCCCTCCTTCACTTTATATATATGCATTCCAGGCTACAGCTAAAAACATTTCTTTTAGTTTACACCAAAGAGAAATATAACCCTTTTAAAAGCAAGTCTGTGTGTCCTCATGGCGAGTTCAGAGCAATGGTCCCTGCCTGAGGGTGGAGAGGAAGGGGTTCTGGAAGCCCAGAGCTGGGCCTACTGGTTCTCGTCCCGCATCTGTTCCATGATGCTGATGAGGTTCTCCAGGCCAAACACATAGCCTCGGTCAGGCCCATCATGCACAGTGGGGTCATCTCGGAAGCCCTTGAATGTGCTGTGTGCAAAGTCGATCATGCGGACATCCACCTTGGGTGGAGAGAAGGGGCCCACCTCGGGGCTGGTGCTGCTGGGGCTGGTGCTAGGGCCACAGGATGGTGCCATCTCAGGGAGCCCTGTGTCCAGGTGCTTGATACGCATTTCGGACCGGCGGTCCAGGTAGGACTCAGACCGGCACTCCTTACCATCATAGATGACAAGCAGGGAACTGGAGTAGAAGCGGTAGGAGGCCTGCCGCTCCAGTACAGCTTTCAGGCCTCGCAGTTTGCTCAGGATGGGCTCAAAAAGGTCACGCCGCAGGTCCAGGCCATTGTGCAGGTACTGATAGAGGGCATTGCGGAAGCCTTCAATGGAGAGCCCACGGCCATAGTACTTGTTCCTGCAGAGGTAATGCCCCGTGTCCAGCTGGTACACCTGAAACCCCAGGAGACAGACAGGTGAGTACCAGGGAGGTCTGATGACCTCACGGTGCCCTGGGCAGGCACTATCTGGAAAGTACTTCTGACCAACCTGAGCTTTTCTGCTCAACCCTACACAACTAGAGTAGGCAGGCCAAGTTCACCCTAAGTTTTCCTGTGGTAAAGCCAGCAATGTGCAGAGACCAGGCCTACAGGTTTTCTGTCACTACCTTTGGAGCCCTCCTCCAAGTTGCCCCAGGAGACCAGCTGGACTCAAACTAGGAATTATCTTGCTGACAGACAAGAGTCTTACTTGCCCCAATATGAAGGCAACAGGCTCTCACAGTGGTTCTGCACTGGAGCCCAGACCAAGGTCCCCAGGTAAGGACAAGAGGGCTCAGGGAACATGTCTACAAAAACGCACTCAGCACTCTGTAGGGGACTCACCCTCTCGGAGGAGATTCTGGACCACTGTGGGCCAGGAGGACACCTGGCTCGGATAGCAGGCAGGCACACACACAACCCAAAACATGCAAGCAGGAGCACCTAGGCTCTCACCAAGGATGACTCACCTGCATGCCACAGACCCTGACACCCAGCGTAGCTGACGTACTTTGCTCGCACTTCCGCATCTGCCGGGCTGCCTTCTCGGCTGATGCATCATCACCATGCTGCCGGGTGCCCATCTTCAGGTCCAGCACACAGGGATACTTGAAGTGGTGCACCACGTTCTCAAGCAGGAGGAACTCTGGGCCACAGTCAAGGGGAATAACCACCAAACTCACCATCAGCCTCAGCCAGAAAAGCATAATCCCATTTTTCTATAAAAGGAGGCATTCCATTCTAATGTAATCTGTATTCACCTCACAAACTCTCAAATGTGGATTTCAAACCACTGGCTTATTATTTCTTTAAAAAAATTTTTTGTTGCGGTAAAATACACGTAACATTTATCATTTTAACCATTTTTAAGTATACAGTTCAGTGGCATTAAGTACATTCATATTATTGTGCAACCATCACCACCATCCAATCTCCAAAACTTTTTCATCTTCCCAAATAGAAATTAGAAACTGTACCCATTAAACAGTAACTCCCATTCCCCTCTCCCCTGCCCCCATAACCACTGTCTACTTTCTGTCTCTATGAATTTGCCTGTTCTAGATACTTCATATAAGTGGCATCATGTAATATTTGTCCTTTTGTATCTGGCTCTTTCGCTTAGCAAATTGTTTTCAAGGTTCATCCATATTGTAGCATGTGACAAAATTTCATTCCTTTTTATGGCTGACTAATTTTTCATTGTATGTATATACCACATTTGTTGATATCATTTTTATTTTATTCTTTAGATCTGTCTTGCAGGCATACAATAAACCAAAGAAGATTTGGCAGTTTCACATACATCCCTGGCACCATCAGTAAACCAAGGCCCTGCTCAATCCAGTGTCTCACTCAGGCCTAAGAAGTAAGGAA